CAGTCTGGGTCTGCTACCATGTTATGTTTTAAGCCTTTAAAAATACAAGAATCTGTAATCGTCTTTCCATAATAAGTAACATAATTCTCTGAACATGTTTCCTTCTACCTTCCTAAATCACTGTGATTGAGACAACCAAGGATGGCTGTCTACCTGGTGTTTGCGGCCACCAAGCCTCCTGCCTACACCTTGCCACATCTGTTCAGTCTTTACCCTTCTCGTGTTTATGGTTATTATTTGCTCCCAGCCCCACCCTCCTCCTGTTGAGAAAGTCCCTCCTCCCAGCTTCTACCACAATCCTCCTCCCACCTAAATATATACTCCTGAGCTCTTGTCCACAGACCTGCTGTCTACTGCTTCTTCTCCTTCAGGAGTTTTGTCCATTTTCATAGCTTCATTCAGCATATCTAGGATATGGTTCCAAATCTTTATCTCCCTCTCAGTCTTACACCAATATTTACTACTTTTTATTTCACATTTCTAGTTCCTTGTGAAACTCAAACTCCTCATCCTCCATGCATGCCAGCTCTTTCTCCTAGCTTTCCAGTCTCTGTGAACATCAGCACATAGACTGTGGCCCTCATACATTACTGAACTTAGCATGAACTTTCTCCACTATTCTTAATGTTATTTTCCTTCTTCACTGGTTTCCTCAAACTAAGCAGCCTTTTATTTTTCAAATTCATGGCCTCCCTTTAACAGATGCTTGCAAAAAGGTGGAACCAAATAAAAGTGTTTTTGAAGAGTTCTAGCTTTCTCAACTTACACACGTCACAGAACTCTGATCACCTTCAACATACATGGCCCAGCCCAGACCAGTCAAATTCATTCCCCAGGTTTATTCTAAGTGGAATAAACATAGAAAGACCCTTGACACTGGGTAATTGAACTAGAAAACTGTGGGCCTAAGACCATCAAGGCCACTCCACCCACCCACCCACACCAGGTGGAGGAAACTTGTCTGCAGTGGGTGAGAATGAAGACAGACAGAGTGTTGGATAGAGACATGACCCTGAAGGGACATGCTGAAACCCAATTCCAGACCCCTAAGTCCCCAGAGCTTTCCTGTTTCCTTCAAATTCCCTGTCGTTCTATGAGCCCCTAGAGTATCCTTCCAATATATCTTCTTTTTGCTTGTACCATTTTTAGTTGAATTTCTGTCACTGGCAACTAAAATGGTTGAAAAATACACCAGTTTATATTCTGATGGCAAATTAATTGATTTTCCAAAAGATTATAACTTCCCTGCCCAAAGCCCTTTTTGCCCCAACTTACTTTTCCTATCTTACGTCTTTTGTACATTCCGTAGACTATCTATTCACTGACCCCTGAACATACCTGAGCTTTCCTTCTTCCACGTTATCATCCCTTCCTTCCCTTTTCTGGTACTCAAAGCTGTGTTTATTCATCACTCAATATTTATCAGAAAACACTTCTCAAATTCTGTGATCTTTCCCTCCTTTGAACCACACCCATTAGAGTGTAAGCTTCTTAATGACTGAAGAGTGTTCCCCATTCATTTCTTTACTGGTCACCACCATCTCTCACCTCAGCACAAGACCTTGAGGACAAATGCTAAATAAATATCGGCTCCTTGGTGTCAATGAAGTATGTCCAATCACCAGTTTTTGTATAAAACCCATTTCTTTTATTGTAACATTAACATTTTTTCAGTTTCATATTGGTGAAATCAGGATTCATATTATAATCATTGGCATTCCACAATTTGATTATTAGTATTTTTTCTCAGTACATAAAATATGGGTGCATCTTACATTTCACGATGTCAGTGCAGTAAAGTATCATTCATGCATTCCTGATAACGATTGTGTCTGCTTCTCTGTCTTGCCTCCAGGGTGACTCATCCCCTGTTCTATTTCCATAGTTCCTGTTTTCTACTCCTACTGATGTTTTCTCCAGTTTACCTCTTTAAATTTCCTACTTTTCTCAAGTAGTGTCAGACTATTATACTGTAATAAGGCAATGCTAAATACAATGGTGTCATTGTATCATGGCCCCGCATGATAAAACACTGTTTATGATTCTAAATATGTCTGCTATAGAATTAACTCCAGTTTAACACAGAAGCTAGCAAAAATAAATGTTTATTTGTTTTAATTTGTGAACAGAGTTATAATTCATGAAAACAATGCACTCAGAAGTGGAGTAGTGTTGGAATTAAATAAGTCTTACAACCAAAGCAATATGATATATTTAATGACAGTAAGATTATCATTCTTTGAGCAGCACTGTGGCTTGGGAGAGTCTGTAGAGATAAAAGATTTCTGGCTGGGTGCAGTGGTTCATGCCTGTAATCCCAGCACTTTGGGAGGCTGAGACAGGTGGATCACCTGAGGTCGAGAGTTCAAGACCAGCCTGACCAACATGGAGAAACCCCCATCTCTACTAAAAAATAAAAAAATTAGCCAGGCATGGTGGCGCATGCCTGTAATCCTAGCTACTCAGGGGCTGAGGCAGGAGAATCGCTTGAACCCGGGAGGCAGAGGTTCCGGTAAGCCAAAATCAAGCCCTTGTTCTCCATCCTGGACAACAAGAGTGAAACTCTGTCTCAGAAAAAAAAAAAAAAAAAAAAAGATTTCTAAACTAGTCCAGATGCCCTGTACCACCCAGTTACCCATGTTTATGCACCTTTGTTCTTCATTGGTCCATGAGGCTGGGAAATCTAGTGGTCTTGGGTCCAGCAACTCCATAGTGGGGAAGCTGTCCTCATAAGCACCGGCATGGTGGGGACCTGCCTTGATCTCTAGTGCTGCAGAAAAAGCCAGTCTCTCACCTCCTCTTCCCACAGCCTAGGATCCTGCCAAAATGAATGACTTGCCCGCAGACCCTATTCTCTGCAATGGCAAACCTTCCCATTCTCCCATGCATCCGCTTAGGCTGGTCTCTTGGCTGGTAGGGCTTCCTGGTCTTTAGGTCTGCCCAGCCCAATGCAGCAGCTACTAGCAGCTGTGCTTACTGAGCCCACTTGAGTGTGGATGGTATAACCAAGGAACTGAGTTTTCAATTTTATTTCAACTAATCTAAATAATAATTATTATTACTTTAGCGATAGGGTCTTGCTCTTTCACTTTCACTCAGGCTGGACTGCAGTGGCTTGATCACAGCTCACGGTAGCCTGGAACTCCTGGGCTCAAGCGATCGTCCCGCCTCAGCCTCCTGTGTAGCTAGAACCCCAGGCACATACCACCACACCCAGTTAATATTTTTAACTAATTTAAATTTAAATAGGCATGTGGCTAGTGGCTACCATATTAGACAGCCCAGATCTAGGATGTATTCTGTCCCATTTCTTCTTCTTAAAATCCTGACCTTCAAGGGGCATCTCAGGGCTGCTTTCTCCATGAGGTCCGTCTCCCTGGTGGGACTGTTTTTCCTCCCTCGGAATTCCCATCTCACACTGAACTCTTACTGAGGCACTAAACACTCTTAACCTTATATTATAGATATTTGTGTGTCATTTCCTCTACTAGTTCCTTCTCTGGGAGCTTTGACTACTCTTATTCTTAATTTGGACCCCACTGTACCTAGTGCAGAGATACTTTAAAATGTTTTTGCCTAAATATATAACAGTAACACTGCGATTAACATTAACAATAAGGAATTGACAAGAGTTGCTGTGTAGTAAAGGACTAACCTTGCCCCAAAAAAGGTTTGAGCCTTGGTCCCAGCTCCTGGGAGGCAACCTCTGTGCCCTTGGAATGTCCTATGAGATAGAAGGGTCTTTGTCTACTGGGACCTTGGGCCACACCAGGTAATCTATGCCAACAATGTGATTTATGATAGGTGCCCTGGACCTCAAGGTACCGGCTCAACCTCTGGAGGGGCAAAAGACTAAAGTCAGCCATGTGGGCAATCAGCCATAAATCCATGACCGACCCCAGTAAAAAAAACTGTACACCGTGGTGAGCTTGGGTCAGTTTCCCTGGCTGGCAATACTCCATGCACATTGCTACGCATCATTGCTGGGCAAAATTAGCTCTATCTGTGTAACTTCACTGGAGGAGGACAGTTGAAAGTTCTGGACCTGGCATCTCCCAGACCCTGCCTTATATGCTAAAGAGTAAAAGCGGCCGGTCGCGGTGGCTCAAGCCTGTAATCCCAGCACTTTGGGAGGCCGAGACGGGTGGATCACGAGGTCAGAAGATCGAGACCATCCTGGCTAACACGGTGAAACCCCGTCTCTACTAAAACTACAAAAAAACTAGCCAGGCGAGGTGGCGGGCGCCTGTAGTCCCAGCTACTCGGGAGGCTGAGGCAGGAGAATGGCATGAATCCGGGAGGCGGAGCTTGCAGTGAGCTGAGATCCGGCCACTGCACTCCAGCCTGGGCGACAGAGCGAGACTCCGTCTCAAAAAAAAAAAAAAAAAAGAGTAAAAGCAACAACAAACAGAATGGGTCTATGGTGTAAATGGGGTTGAAGGAGGGGAAAGAGCAGAAGTACATCATGCCACATGTAGAATGAGCACAGCTTAGAGAAGTTCTCTAAGGAAAGAGACTCTAATTTTTCATTTCCACAGTACCTGATGCAGAGTGGGACCTCAATATTTAAAGAATGGTTGAATGGATGGCTAAATGAATAATCTCCTCTAATATTGCAAAATCCTGTAGGTTGCCATACTCCCACAGGCAAATCATTTCCTGTCTGGGATCTGAGTTCTTTTCCCTTCTAGGTAGGCACTTAATCCAGTTGTATAGGTTTATGGGTTTTTTTTGTTCCTAATTTCCTATCTCCTATCCAGAATGCCCCTAACCTTGCACTTCGTTCTTCCTTTTCCCTCCACAGCTGAATCCTAGACATCCTGAGGGTCTAAGAATGTCTAGGAGGCATTTGAGTCCTTATTTATAGGAGGGGAGTTCTTGTTAACTAGTTCACACACAAGAACAGAAGGTCCCAGAGAGACGTGAAGTGTGACGTGAGACATAGCATGAACAAGGAGTAGCCCCACGAGGTCTGGGGTCAGGGTAGCTGGAGGGCTCCTGGGCTCCTCTGAGAGATGAGTGCTGCTCAGGGTGGTCCAGTAGCTGCTGCTCTGTCTGGTGAGGGGCATGTGGTCAACAAGTCCACCTGTCAATGACTGGCCAGGCCCCCTTGATGTCTATGCCCTCTTCTAGGAACAGCCTTGGAACCCCTAGGAAAACACTGACCAATAAATTAAGTTGAAAAAAATGTAGGAGGCAGGGAATATCAACCTAGAGTATTTGTCAATGGCATGGGTGTTCTGGAAGATACGAAAACCCATCTGGCCCTTCAGAAGCCCCTTCTTTCTGGCAGCGTTGGCTTCACCACTCAGGCCCAGGTGGACCACTATTTTGTCTTGCCTTTCTTCTTCCGTTAGGATATGGCTTCTGGGATACCCAGCCAGGCTGTTGGCCTCAGACTCACTGTAGCTTCCATCCAGCATCATGGTTTTTGAATGAAGCATTCCACACATGCCCGGGAACTATGGGCAGCAAGCACAAAGAACATCATTAAGCCTTGTGAGGTGGGCAGAGGAGGGAGCCTGGCCCAAAAGCAAAGCCACATTGCTACTCAGAACCACAGAAAGACAGAACTAGAAAGATCTCCAGAGATTACTTAGTCCAGTGATCCTCTACCCTGGTTGCATATTAGAATCATCTGCACAGCTCTTTAAACTGGCCGTGCCTGGGCTGTACTTTAGAGCAATTAATTTAAAATTCCCAGGTGATTCTACTGTGTAGCCAGAATTGAGAATCACTGATCTAGTCCAAATCCCTCAATTGTAGAGGCAAAACCTAAGACCCAGAGAGCTATATGATTCTGAGACCACACAGCTGGTGTCAGAGCAGGACTTGAAATCCACATAGTCTGATTCTAGCTGCAGGACTCCACCTTTCTGTGCATGAATCAAAAGATGACTAGGACCCAGGCGCAGTGGCTCATGCCTACAATCTCAGTGCTTTGAGAGGTCAAGGCAGGAGGATTGCTTAAGGCCAGGATTTCAAGACCAGCCTGGGCAACATAGTGAGACTCCTCCTCTACAAAAAAAAAAAAAAAAAAATTTTAATTAGCCAGGCATGGTGGCATGCACCTGTAGTCCTAGCCAGGAGGCTGAGGCAGGAGGATCATTTGGGCTCAAGAGGTCAAGGCTGCAGTGAGCAGTGATCATGCCACTGCATTCCAGCCTGGGTGACAGAGCAAAACCCCGTCTCTTTTTTTAAAAAAGAAAGAAAAAGATGATGAGGTAGAAGAGTGTCCTTATCTTAAAAAGCTACATTTAAGAATCAAGGGTCATGGTATCTGCAATGTATTTTTAGACAGTTCAACTGCACCAACAGATACATGTTTATATGGAGAAAATGTACATTCATTCAGAAAATGAATGCATAATCCATTTTCTCCATATAAGCATGTATCTGTTGGTGCAGTTTTTGCCACACAAAAATGGAAAAATGTTAGCAATGTTGGATCTAGGTGCTGGGTACCTGAATGTACATGACCCTATTCTTTTAATAGTTTCTGCAAGTATGAAAGTGTTCATAAGACATTCTAAGTGGGAGGAAAGGAAGTGATTTCGCTTGACTTCTCCCCATAGTTTAGTCAGTAGAGAGTGGGCTTCCACTGGTGCCTGGATGCTTGGTGTTGACCAAGGGCAGGAGCCCCACTTGACACAGCCAATTGGTGTTGATTTGAGTATGTTCCTGACCTGGCTCTCAGCCCTTCAGTGCCTCTGGTTTTCCACCTAGGAAAGTGAAATAATGAAGTTTCACAACCTGCCTCTTATTGTTATGGATCTTGAAACTCTCAGATGAATATCATAAAACTTTAGAATGCAAAAATAGATGAATGATTTTATGCAGAATTAGAATTATTTGAAGTATTCTTATCCTTGAAGAAATTGTTTGTGGTTTGGGGGGCTATTTTTTTTCATCAGGCATGATTGTTTCATTATTATTTGCTGTGTCTTTGTTCCATCAGTAACAAATCTTTTTTTTTTTTTTTTGAGACAGAGTCTCACTCTATCTCCCTGTCTGTAGTACAGTGGCTTGATCTCGGCTCACTGCAACTTCCACCTCCTGGGTTCAAGCGATTCTCCTGCCTCAGCCTCCTGAGTAGCTAGGATTACAGGTGCCTGCCACCATGCCTAGCTAATTTTTGTATTTTTAATAGAGACAGGGTTTCATCATGTTGGCCAGGCTGATCTCAAACTCCTGACCTCAAATGATCTGCCTGCCTTGGCCTCCCAAAGTGCTGGGATTACAGGCATTAGCCACTGCGCCCGGCCAACAATTCTTGAATAATTAACATAGACTCATAGATATAAGGGAATTAGGGATAAAAGGTCAGTAAGAGGTCATCTCTCTCTCTTTTTTTTTGTTTTTTAGATGGGGTCCTGCTTTATTATTACCCAGGCTGGAGTGCAGTAATGCCATCTCGGCTCACTGCAGCCTCCACCTCCTGGGCTCAAGAGATCCTCCCACCTTGACCTCCCGAGTAGCTGGGGCTACAGGCACACGCCACCACACCCAGCTCATTTTTGTATTTTTTGTAAGATAGGGTTTTGCCAAGTTGCCCTGGCTGGTCTCAAACTCCTGGGTTCAAGGGATCCACCTGCCTTGGCCTCCCAAAATGCTGGGATTATAGGCGTGCACCACCATGCCCAGCCCTATTCAATTCTTTGTATTTAGGTATAATCACACCCAAACTGATAAAATTGTGTGATATTATCATGGGGGGTTATTTATTTATTTAAGGCACGGATCTTTACTTCTCCTTGCTCTAAACTGAAAATCTTTCTGCTAAAATGAAATAGACTTTTCTCCTACGATTTTGAGTTCAAATCAGGAAATGCCAAAAATTCTGATAAATCCCTGTTTTCCAGATTGGCCCGTTTCTAAGAAAGAGGAAGTGGCTCCTGGCATGTCAGACAAGGTCTGGCTAATCAGCCAAAGTATTGGAGCAGCTGAGGGGAGGCAGGCCCTGGGCTCCCACGTGCTCCCACCTGCACTTGTCTGCCATTCAAACCAGGGGTGGACCTATTGGGTCCCAGGCAGCTTTTCCCTTTACAGAGTGGAAATCACACTTCAGTGAGCATCAGAAGCACCTGGGAGCTTGCTTAAAATGTTGATTCCAGGGTGCCATCCTCAGAGATTCTGAATCAGTAGACCTAGGGTGTGGTCTGCTGCGGGAAGTCAGGGACCCTGAATGGAGGGACCAGCTGGAGCCACGGCAAAGGAACATACATTGTGAAGATTTCATCTTCATATGGACATTTATCCATTCCCAAATAATACTTTTATAATTTCTTATGCCTGTCTTTAATCTCTTAATCCTGTTATCTTCGTAAGCTGAGGATGTACATCAACTCAGGACCACTATGATAATTGTGTTAACTGTATGAATTGATTGTAATTCAATCTATGTTGAAATATTGGGGGTGGGTTCTCCCAGTAGTGGTCTCGGAAATCTATTTTTTGAGAACCTGTCTCAAACCCGGGAATCTATTTTTAGCAGACTCAGGAGGTGATTCCAGGGCAGGTACTCCATGGCTTCCACTTAGGAACCTCAGCTCTATTGGGAACCATTTCAATGACCAGGAATATTAGTTTCTCTGTGAGGCAGCAGATGGTGCGTTCTCCCTCTGTCTGCTCTCCAGCAACTGTGCTTCTTGGTCTTAAATCCTACATTTGACAACAGCAGAGTAGGAGCTCTCACCTCCTGGATGTCTGTTCTCACACAGACAGAGGGGGAGACTTAGGGGCCCGAGGCCCTCTCCACAGATGACTTCCTTGTCTCTTTAAACAAAGTCATACAATTGCTGGCAAAGATCAGGACCTGATATGGAAACAGGGCAAGTTGTGCTGGTGAACTGTTGGTTTGTGAGCCCCTGTTTGTCAGATGAAGCCTTTGCTATTTTTTTCAACTGCTCTATACAGGAAAGTCTAATGATTTATAAATCAAAAGTGTTTAAATATGGTCCAAAGGCCTGTGATAATGACCAGTGTACAAATTACCGAAGTTTAAACAAGTAAATTTTCTGAAGTAAAAAAGGTTTGACTAGAGCTTTAAAAATAAGCAAACTGGTATATTTGGAGATGTAAACTAAAAATAAAGTTCTAAGCCCCCAGACTGACTGAACTGACCCCCCTCTTGGTCAAGGGGACCCCAGAGAAACCTTAAAAACTGAGTTCCCAGTCATGACGGGACAAGAGGCCAGACACACCTTGTTATTCCTCCTCCTTTTGGGGTTTAGACACAACTGACCAGCGTTAATGCTGAAATAGAGATCGTAAGACAGAACAGATTCTTTATGGCCCTAAGATACCAAATTACAAACAGTACCTAAAGCCATTCTAGGACCACAGTGAAGTCACACACCCCTGCGCTTAGAGAATATACTGTGTGCTGCCACAAGGTTTTTCTTTTTCTCTTTCAACTAAACAAGCACTGGGCTCCAGATAAATGACGTTAAAACAATTTGAGGCTGGTGCGGTGGTTCACGCCTGTGATCCCAGCACTTTGGGAGGCCAAGGGGGCAGATGGCTTTGACTCCAGAAGTTTGAAACCAGTCTCAGCAACACGGCAAAATCCCATCTCTTTTAGAAATATAAAAACTAGCTGGACGTGGTGGCGCATGCCTATGGTCCCAGTTACTTGGGAGGCTGAGGTGGGAGGACAGCATGAGCCCGGGAGACGGAGGGCAGTTAGCAACCACTGCATTCCAGCCTGGGTGACACAGCCAGACCCTGTCTTTAAAAAAAAAAAAAAAAAAAAAAAAAAATTGCAGCTCACCGACCATCAGACACTGAGTAACCAACCCCGGGCCCCTGTTCCACCAGCCATAACTATAGCTTTGGCTGGACAAGAGAGTGATTTTAGTAACCTTCTCTTGATAAGGCCATCAGTCCTGGACCGGTCCTGGTCAGTTTACAGAGGCTGTTAACTTGAGTGCCTTTGTGTCCCTTTTGCACATAGGGTCTAATTGTAATACATTGAACTGTTCAGTCTCCACCGCAGGGTGAACACGGGTTGTATGTTACATGCACATTTGCTCAATAGGCATGTGTCAGGACTACCTTCAAAAACATTCATAAATCTTCCTATAGCCTATTGAATATGTGTATTTAGCCATATTCAGCATAAAGCTCCTACTCCAACACCTCCTCCTTCGAAGTGCCTGTGTCCAGGTCTTTACGGGAGGCTGCACTCCCCAGCCTGCAGGATGCCACCTTGCAGACTGGAGTCCTTTGTAAGAAATAAAGTCTCCTTTTCCAAATTTATAAATTTTTGATTTTTTTAAGTTAACAGAAACAAAGTGGAAATACTTGACAGGTATAATGCAGGTGTTGAAAGACAATTTTTGAAAAGGCAACATATTGAACAACATAGGTTTGAACTGTGGAGATTCACTCAGATTTTCTTCCACCTCTGCCACCCCACACACAGTAAGACCAATCCCTCTCTTTCGTCCTCCTCCTCAGCCTACTCAGAGTGAAGATGACCAGGATGAAGACCCTATGATGATCCACTTCCACTTATGAATTATAAAAATATTTTCTCTTCCTTATGATTTTCATAACATTTTCTCTCTAGCTTACTTTATTGTAAGAATGTAGTTTATAATACACATACAAAATAGGTGTTAATCGACTATTTATCTTATCAGTAAGGCTTCCAGTCAACATGAGGCCATTAGTAGTTAAGTTTTGGAGGAGCCAAAAGTTATACTTGGATTTTCTACTGCACAAGGGGTCAGCCCCCCAACCCTGCCTTGTTCAAGGATCAACTGTAGTATAATATAGTACAGTACAATATAGATAGTATAGTATTTATTTTTTTATTTTGTTTTTTTGAGATGGAGTCTTGCTGGACTCCCAGCAAGGACTGGACTGTCACCCAGGCTGGACTGCAGTGGTGCAATTTCAGCTCATGGCAACCTCTGCCTCCCTGGTTCAAGGGATTCTCCTGCCTCAGCCTCCCGAGTAGCTGGGATTACAGGCATGCACCACCATGCTCGGCTAATTTTTGTATTTTTAGTGGAGACGGGGTTTCACCATGTTGGCCAGGCTGGTGTGGAACTCCTGACCTCAAGTGATCTGCCCACCTCGGCCTCCCAAAGTGCTGGGATTATAGGCATGAGCCACCATGCCAGACCAATAATATAGTATTTCCAACTTGTTTCTGCATCCACACATAGAAGTTTTTTTCTTTTAAAGAAATACATATAAAATATTTAGCTTTAATCCTTACTGTGGCTGAATTTTCACCTGGCACTGATAAATAAAGGTGTTTTTTTGTTCTAGAACTCTCCCTTCTCTGGTCATAAGACAGGGAGACATTGTCCCTAGACATGTTCAGTAATAATAGTGAAAGTTTGTTTGTCTAGATCCTGATGTATGTGAAAGATCAAAACAACTTTCACATACATATCTCATGTGACTCTTACAGTAGAGGTGAGGGTTCTGTAATTTCCCTTTGACAGATGAGAAAACTGAGGCTCAGCACAGATGGCAAAGTTACTCAACTTGGGTTGTCTAAGACCCAAGCCTTCCTGTTCCTAGTCTTTGTCCAAAGACCTTCCTCTTTCTGGAATCCTTTGGGGTAGAAGCCAGAACCTATTCTAGAACAACATCCTCCTCCTTTTGCACAAACATCTCCTTTTTCTACATGCAACCCTGCCTCTGCCCCCTGCCCAGCCAACGTTCATTTTCACCCAGTAGCATGGACTTAGACAAGGGCGGAAGAAGCCCTCTCACCTTCTCCCTCAGCTTCCGTTCCTTGCGCTCCTGCACGGTGGTCAGGTAGTTGACGGCCGCGTACTCCAGCACCGAGAGGAACACGAACACAAAGCTGACCCAGAGGTAGATGTCCACGGCCTTGACGTAGGAAACACGCGGCATGGAGGCGTTCACGCCCGTGATGATGGTGGTCATGGTCAGCACCGTCGTGATACCTGCAACACCTGGCCTTAGTTGGGCTGCTGACAGAGGTCTAGAACTGCCCCCACATCTCACTAAGTCACGATTACTCTGTATCTCTTAAACCACGTGAGAAAGTACCAGGTGTGTTTCTGCCTCGGAGAGGGGCAAGGATCTGCCCCACCAGCAGCCAGGCCTATTCTCCCTGGAGCCAACCCGCTGCTTGTCTCATTATCCTTCAGGCACATTATCCTTCCGGCACTGCGTTTCTGTGATGTGGCCGACAAGGAGAGGACCTGTTCTCATGTGGAATTAAGACAGCGACTAAAGGACACCTCAGAAGGAACGTTCCCAGACTTCAAGGAATAGGCACATTCTCCCTCATCTAAAGTCCCTGAAGACTGTGAAAATTCCCAGAGGCCCATCGTGCGCGATTCTTCTTCACTCTGTCTTGCTGCTTAAACCCTCACCTTTCTCAAAGCCCAACCTAATGTTGTCTAAATTTACAACGACGTGTTGTAAACTCTCACTCTTGAATTCAGGGTCGGTAAAAGGCTAAACCACAGCTCCAGGGAACGTGGCCCTCCTTTTCCCAGAAATCTCATATTCTGTGCCCTGCTTCCAAGCCCTCAGTCTGTCTGAACAACGCCAGCAAATGAAGTTTTTGTATTTACAGAAGGAATTGTTGGCATTTGCAGAATCATCTTATTTATCCAAATACTGAGCTCTGATACTGCCAGTTGTCGAAGTCTATACCCCAAATCTTTCTGAAGTGATGCAGTCACAGTTGATGTTGTTTTACTCCCTCTGGCTCTCACAATGTGGAGGAAACTGAGGCCAGCATCTAGATGGTAAAGGCAAGAAGCAGGAGAAGTTGCTCCTTCTGACTCTAACAGCTCATCAGTTAAGAACTCTAAATAATGATTTTTACTTTTTGTAAACATAGTGATAAGTTGGAAAAAATAACCACCCTACCACATCTTATGAAATGCTTTTACCCAGTGAAACTCTGGCAGGCACAGCTCTGCGGTCGATCCAGAAGGACACCCAGGACAGCATGACCATCAGAGTGGCGGGGAAATATGTTTGGAGCAAGAAGAAGAAGATGTGGCGACGCAACGTGAAATTGATGTACAGACGGTTGTACCAGCCTGGGGGACACAGCAAGAAGCCAATGAGGTTCCATCTGAGAGGTAAAAGCAAACTGTGTCCCTGGGAACCCGTCTTTCACTGACATGGCCCTCATCAGCAACAGAAAGTTGAAATTAATGATCAGTTGGCTTAACATAATACCTTTCTTTTCCGAAATCTAAGCACTTTCTCCTATATATAAATATCTTGCCAATATCTAGTACATTTACTATCTTAGTTGGTATTACCTAACTTCTCTTCACAGTATTTTGGGAAAGGGTAGAACTAAACAGAAGGGAAGTTTTAGTCATTTGGGTTTTTGTTTGTTTGTTTTTGAGACAGGGTCTTGCTCTGTAGCCCAGGCTGGAGTACAGTGGCACACTCACAGCTCACTGCAGCCTCAACCTCGCAAGCTCAAGCGATCCTCCCACCTCAGCTTTCTGAGTAGCTGGAACTACAGGTGTGTGCCACCATGCTCAGCTAATTTTTTTTTTTTTTGTATTTTTTTGTAGAGACAGGTTTCGCCATGTTGCCTAGGCTATAGTTGTTTGTTCTGTTTTTGTAATTTCCAAATTACAACCATATTTCTTGAGTGACTTGCTGCTCAAGAGCATGAGAGGTTGGAATAGTTCTATTTTGTTGAGGCCAGTACCACTGAGGCAGGAGCTGGGGGAGCTAGGCTCTGGTCACTGTCACCTTTGTTGTGAAATTGTCACCTTTATTGTAAGACCCTAACCCTTTACCATGTAAACTCCACATCTGTCACAGAAAGAAATAGGCTGTTCACATGATTCTAAAGTCTGACATTTGGGACATGAGGAAATGAGACTCTTAGAGGCTTTTCCAAAGCCTTAGCTAGAGTCAGTTGCGCTTGTTTCAATGCAGGCCTCCAATGCCCAGGCTAGTGTACAGTTCACTGGCACTAAGTATATTATTCACAATATAGTACAACCCTCACCACTATTCATTGCCAGAACTTGTTCATCATCTCACATAGAAACTCTGCAGCCATTAAACAATAACTCTCCATTCCCCCTCCCATGAGTTCCTGGGAACCTTTATTCTATTTCTCTCTCCTTATTTTTTTTGAATAGAGACAGGGTCTTGCTCTATTGCCCAGGGTGGAGTGCAATGGCACAATCATAGCTCACTGCAGCCTCAAACTCCTGGGCTCAAGCAATCCTCCCTACTCAGCCTCCTGAGTAGCTAGAACCAAGGGCATGTGTCACCATGCCTGGGTAATTTTTTTTTTTTTTTTTTTTTTTGAGACAGAGTATCACTCTGTCCCTGAGGTTGGAGTGCAGTGGCGCGATCTCAGCTCACTGCAACCTTCGCCTCCTAGATTCAAGTAATTCTCCTGTCTCAGCCTCCCAAGTAGCTGGGATTATAGGGGCGTGCCACCATGCTCGGCTAATTTTTGTATTTTTAGTAGAGATGGGGTTTTGCCATGTTGGCAAGGCTGGTCTCGAACTCGTGGTAGGCAGAAGCCAGAACGTATTCTAGGCTACATTATTTTAATAATCAAAATTTAGGCTGAGCATGATGGCTCACGCCTGCAGTCCCAGCACTTTGGGAGCCCGAGGTAGGAGGATTGCTTGAGTCCAGGAGTTCGAGACCAGCTTGGGCAACATAGTAAGACCTCATCTCTACCAAAAAAAAAAAAAAATTGGCTGGGCATGGTGGCACGTGCCTACAGGCCCAGCTAATCAGGAGGTTGACATGGGAGGATCACCTGAGCCTGGGAGGTTGAGGCTGCAGTGAACCATGATCTCGCCACTGTACTCCAGCTTGGGAGACAGAGTGAGACCTTGTCTCAAAACAAAAAACAAAACACACACAAAACGTATTTTCCTTGGGGTTAAGGCTGAAGAAGAATTCAAATATGCTTTCTTGCACATTTGAATCAGATTGTGGCAAAAGATAGCTACCAGTGCTACTGTAGAAGGCCAGTCTGGAAGTCGTGTGAAATTTCTGAATCAGAAACTGAGACAAGGAGATCTTCTCATCTGTTTTTAGGGATTCATCCCCATTCTTCCAGTACAGCATCAGATCTTCATCTGTATAGGCATCTTTGGGAAGAGGAAAACAAGTTAATGTGACTCCTTTGCTTCTGATGCAGGGTGAAGTAACAGGGAAATCCCGTGCCAGTCCAGAGGTAAATAGGTCTTAATGCTGGCAGGCAGGGCTCAGCCTCATGATTACTAAAATGGCACCAAGATCAGAGAGGAAAGAAGACAAAGGAATTAGGAATGCTGATACTTACAGCTCTCCAGCTCCAAAGAACAGGTCTGGGAGTCCAGGGGAAAGTGGCTGAAGTCCATGTTGCACATGGCAGTGACCGTAATCCTAGACAACCCAGAGTCACGTATTGGCTTGTGCAGTGAATTATTGGCTCCTACATATGCACAGAGCAAGAAGGCACAGTACACAACCGAGCAGCTGCCTCCTCACATCGGCTGCAGAAGCTTGGAAACATAGTTATCTGAGTTATAGAACCTTAACTTCTAGAGTTTTGTCGTCTGTAGTAGAGGATTAGTGCTCTGCCAGATCCCTGTTACTGGGCTGGTGCGCCCCTTCCCCAGCCACTGGCGGTGCTGGCTGCTAATGGCTCTCTCCCGTGCCTCTCTCTGGGCTTTGCCCTCAGCCAGCAGGGCCACCTCCTCAGGAGATACCTGGGAGGCCCCCTGCTCAACTTCCACCCAAGGCCAGAAGTGTCTAGTATCAGCATTGCATTCTGGTGAACTGTACAAGCAGACCAGGGGGATGTGGGACAATGAGCTTCATCAGTGACAAGTAGGAAAAAAGCATTTTTTTTTAAAGATGTGTAACATGACTGCTTACGTGACTCCCCGTACTCCAGAAGCCAGTCTGCAATAGCCCTCAATACACAGTAGCTATTTTTTAGGGGGGGATGGGAGGACGCTTTTTTAAAATGTTTTTTTTTTTTTTTAAAGGCTATTTAAAAAAAAATCTTTATTACCAATCAACTAGAATGACATGCTCTCAGGGAACAGAAGGTACAGCGTATGGAAGGTCATTGTCTCATTCCAGCCAAAGTAGTCTTCTCACCCAAGCTTAAGACCCCCAGTGATGGGGAAGTCATCCCCTGCCGGGGTGGCCATGTCATGTTTAGATAGTTCTGACTGGCATCAGAAGGCTCCTCCCATCCAGGAACCCACAGACCCAACCACAGTGACAGTCTTCAGGGCCAAAGGGCCTGACCACACATACTGGAATGGCATTGGACAAAGGAACAGTGGCCCCCAGACAGCTACCTCATGCTGTACAGCACATGTCCATCCGGGAACACCCTCAGCATGATGTTGTCAGTGGTGGTGTCATGAGTGAACGACCTTTTGGAGTGAACAAAGAAGACATCAGGGACCCAGATCTTCTTCACCAGCCGGCCATCAAAGGTCATGCTCTTGTTGCTGGCGCTGGAGAAAGCTAGCCTCTCATCCTTCCAGTAATGCCGCAGGTACAGGGTCATCGTGAAGTCCTGTGGGAGCCGGGGTGAGACCAGACACAAATGGTTTAGAAAGTTTTCTTCCTTACAATCAACCCATCATCCACTACTGTGATGGACATCTCAGGCTCAGCCTCCAGGTTCAGAGGTGATAGTTCTGCAGCCCTGTGGCATGCTGGCACTGTGCAGCTGGAAAGAGAATGGCCCATTTTTATGCATCATGCACTTGGAGCCCAGGAGACTGAGCACCCAGCCCCTCAGGCTTTGCAAATGAAAACTGTGGCTGTTCTCGCAGCCCGGCCTGGCAGCCAGTGGGGAAGGATTTCTCCAAAGTTCTGCTCTCTCTCACTTAGACCTCTCCACACATGGTTCCTTACCCACTGGCTAACCATTCCATTTCAGTTTAGCGGCCACTTCCAGAAACCTGGATAGTCGAAGTCCCTCTTAGGAGGATTCTTGCCATTAGGCTTGTAAGATCCTTGAAGGAAAAATTGTGTCTTGCCCACCATTGCATCCCATTCACTGTAGAATTTAGTGCCTGGGAAAGCACGTAGTAGATGCTTAATAAATATTTGCTGGTTGAAAGATTGGGGAGATAAATGGATGAGGGGCTGGGCAGCTGCATACCTACTATAATTTCTGCCTGAAATCTTATCCTGTTCAAAAGTGTCTCCTTGCCTGCATGATTGATTCCTTAAGAGTTTGGTCCTCCACATAGCCAGAGCTGACACAGGTGCAAATGGAAAAAATAACTGCCCAAAACATCCTCTTCTGGGTGGAGAAAGGCTGGAAAGAGTGCATGGTTGTGGTGGGCCCAGAGGGAGCCCTGGGAAGAGAGGAAAGAATGAGCGAGCACTGGGATACTGCATACATGAAAGTCTGTCCCTAGACTGATCCTGGCTCCCAGCGCATCAGTAGCTGCCAGCAACTCCCCTTCCACACACAAGGAGAGCAGCCAATACATGAGTAGGAAGAAACCAGCCAAATACCCCTTCTGGCTATTTCCCTTCTAGGACACAGAGCTGAAGAGCAGGCTCTGAGGGCCATCGCCCGGGGGAAGTGCAGATTCACAAACACTGTGTATGGCTACCTTGGATATTACCTACCTACTGCTGGCGTCCACCTGCCTTCCCACGGGTTGGTGGTTGCTCTGTGAGAGGCAGGTCATTCTAGATACCTCTCCCTGCGATCCTGAGCCACACAGGACAAAAGTCTTTGCACTCAGCACAGACATCTGGGTTGATTCAGTCTAGGGCAGCCAGGCTGTCCTAGACACAGCTGGTTCTGGAACTGGGCTCAGCTGTTGGATATCCAAAGAGGCTGGCAATGTACAATCTAGCATCTTGGAAACTGTCATACCTGCACCTTTCACACCTGGGCCCCATATTTTGCCAGGTGCTGGAGCTATGGGGGGTGCACAACCTCAGTATCAATCATATCAGCTCTGCCAGGCTGGGTCGATTAGGAGCCAGGGGAGTTCCCACTCTTCAAGGGCAGATGACAGCATTGCAAGTGGGATGCAGTGCTGGAAAGTGGAGCCTCCCCGACTTTTATTTATTCCACACATTTTCAGGGCCCCTGGGGGGCCACACTGGACTAAACTTGGAGATATTGGGGTAAAGAAAAACACGAGTCCCTGCATTCATGGAGCTTATAGTCAAGCATGGAAGACAACCAATATACAAGAAAAACCCCCAAATAAATGTATAGCACAATTATAAATGATGATGTAGGCTATGAAGAAGAAACAAAAATTCTTCAGATCAGGAAGTCAGGAAAGCCTCTTTGATGAAGTCTCGTTTTAGCTAAGGCCTGAAGGATAAGAAGGAGATAGCTGTGGGGAGGGCCAGAGCTGGGGCATGCTCAAGATCCCTGAGGCAGAAGAAAGAGAAGTTTGCAAACTGAAAGAGAGGCAGACAGAAGAAGGAAGAGAGGAGGCTGGGGCCCTGGGGCGGGGGGTGCACCCCTCCACTGGGAGCCCTGCAGGACACCCAGGCCCGTGGTGGTAGAATGGGGGTAGACGTGGCGTGGGGGCCACTGCCGCAGAGTGAGTTGGGGAACTGCACATGCAGCAGGAACTGAACATCAGAAAGCTGCAAAATTTCAGCCTGAAACTGTCCACCTCCAGTACCCCTCCAGGTGTGGTTCGCCTGGTCACGTGCATTATTTTCAGCGTGTTGAAAATGCAAAGTCTCACTCCCAGAGATTCTGAATCAGGAAGTGTGAAATGGGGCCCAGGAACCCACATTTAACCAACTCCTCAGGTTATTTTTGCCCACGCAGCTTGAGAATGCCCACTCTAGATTTTACCGCTCCAGGGCTGACTTCCAAGTGCCCATTTTATCACCTCCAGCTCCCACTCTGCCCACACGGGCACAGCCGGCACCACCGAGGCCCACCACACTACAGACTGTCACGCTGTCTCACTGGAGGCCGCTGCATACCATGTCCACCTCGGAGATGCTGTCCAGGCTCTCCACCTGCACGTCCACGCCCACCGGGATGGCAGGGCCTGCAGAAGAGCAGAGACAGCTGGTTAAGGCACCTTCCTCTCTACCTCTGGGCTGGGAACAGCCCCCGTTGGCTTCCCCCGGGGAGCCAGGACTGGAGCAGGCTAGGGCAGAGGTTTAGAATTCTATGAGGGTTTCTTGCTAGTTCCTGACGTGTTGGGTGTCTGAGCTCTCTCCATGAGGTCAGCAACTGTGCCTGCCTTAAGTGCCATCCCTGGGTCAGGCTAGATGTGTAATCCATGCTTATTGGATGAATCGATGAGCTGATCGCTACTTTTTACATCCTAGGGCTGTCTCTGTAGGGTAGAGGTAATAATGTTGCTCTAGTGCCTGACCGGAGACACTGGTCATATGGGCCTCCTGTGACGACTGAAAAAGAGAATGAGGCCTAAGAGTCTCCAACTCTGGGCTGGGCACCTGCATGCCCTGGTCTGGATTCATTCAGTCATTCAGGCTCTACCTATGCAGACCCTGACATATAGCTGGGGTCCAGCCTTCTAGAGGCCTTCAACCCAGGATGAGACAAGATCTTCTCTGTGCAATGTCACATCACAGCAGAGGACAATGAAACCTTGTCAGGCCATGTCAGATTAGAAGTATGAGAAAACCCAGCACAGAAACTAGCACTGAACTTCATCTGGCCTACAGCAAGATTTCCAAAACTGAGTTTGTCTGTGGGGTCCTGTCCTTTTCCTTGAGCTGGGTGATGGTTACGTGGATAAGTTCACCTTAGGAGAATGTAGTGAGTGATACACTTATAATGGGTGCACTTTTCTGTGTGTATGTTATGCTTTAGTAAAATGTTTTTTGGATTTTAATTTTTTTTTAAACTTGGAAAAACCAACAGCCTGCATCTGCCAGTCATATTAATGAATGCCATTACGCTTGAAGTCAGGCGCAGCTGGGCTGGGCCTCAGGGGGAGAGGGCATTGTCCAGAGGCCAGCCTAGCTGTACATGGATCCTCTTGAGCCCTGACCAGGGAACACAGGACCAGGACGTTCTGATCCACTGTGGTCTGAGCGGGGAGAACCTTAGGGGGACTCGGTGAGTCTGAGTCCTGAGGGATGAGCAGAATTGGAAGGGGCTGAGACTTTGGCCATGGGCAGGGAAGGAGGATCAGAGATTCTCACATGGCGTACGTAGGAACTAGAAAGCCCAATCCTCAGTTCTAGCCCACATGCAGGGCAGAGGTCCTCTTGGAAGTAGTCCAGGGCAGGGGATGGCCTCACTGACTCCCCCACGGCTCCACGTAGGCCTGAAAACACTTGAAATCCCACCGTTCAAGATTTCCTGTTTTGGCTGAGCCTGACAGAATGGAAGTATTTTATTCATTACTGGTGAAGTTGGGTGACTATTTTCTCTTTCTTAAACATGAAAGAAAATAAGTACAATGCTTTAATTTTTCCCTCTCAGATAAATCAGGGTATAAGTTGAACGTTCTATTTTTCTCTGTTCCTCAGATGATAGCTAAGATCAGGACCCATGAGAAATCTTTGCTCTGACAGTCGTCTGTACTCTCTTTTTTTTTTTTTTTTTTTTGAGACAGAGTCTCGCTCTGTTGCCCAGGCTGGAGTGCAGTGGCATGATCTCGGCTCACTGCAACCTCTGCGTCCCAGGTTCAAGCAATTCACCTGCCTCAGCCTCCTGAGTGGCTGGAATTACAGGCGCCCACCACCACACCTGGCTAATTTTTTGTATTTTGAGTAGAAGCCAGGGTTTCACCATGTTGGCCAGGCTGGTCTCGAACTCCTGACCACAGGTGATCTGCCCGCCTCGGCCTCCCAAAGTGCTGGGATTATAGGCGTGAGCCACCACACCTGCCTGCATTCTCTTTTTATTCCAGGGTCCGGAAGTGCTTTGAGGGTGCCAGAAATGGGATGGCCCCTGTGGGAGGAGGCCCCTCCTCAGGGCTTAACAATTGCCTGTTTTTCTCCCCTGAGGGACTTGCAACCCGAGGGAGGGTGTGTGGGCAGCCTGGCCAGAGCTGTCTCCTAGTACCAGGATCCCACTGCCTGCTAGAGGTTTCCAACACCATTCATTCCCTCATCTTGGGGACGCTTCATTAGTCTGAGGTGTTCAAATGGCCCGGAGTGGCACTTTAAATTCCGGGGTAGCACAGCCTCCTGTGGAAGATGTACAGTAGTCTCCCCTGCTTTCTCTAAAGTGCCAGGTGACCTGCTGGATACAGCAGTCCCAAGAGCTGCAGGGAAGAAACAATATAGCAATGGCCCTCTTGGATTCATGTTCTAGTGGCCTGGTTTTCAGATAATGCGCACAGTGTTTGACCAGGAGCTACTTTTGGCTCAGGCATTTTCCAGATAAAATGTCAGCTGGCCTGGTGTTAGTTACCGTGTCTGTTCTCAGGGCCTGGCTTGCTCTTCAGAGCTCCAGTGCCCTTTTAAGGAGAAATTTGGTAAAAACCGCGAGGGAGGCATCAGTGCTCTGGAGGTATTGCCCACGCGGAGTGCAGGTCAAGGTTTCAGGCACCCCGGGTTGTTGGAGGAAAACAATCTGTCTATTCAGGAGGTCGCAAAGCCACATTCAGGGAAACTCACACCTCAAGTTTGAGCAGAGACCAAAGGCTCTGCCCTCCTTGGTCTGAGCACTGCCTTTGACCTGCCCCACTGCCTGGCTCTCCAGATCTCCACTTTGTGGCCCTTCCTAACCTAGGTTTGGGAGAAATTCTTGCAAATTACTGGTCTTTCTCCTTCTTCCATGAACAGTTTTATGTTTTAAGTGGGGCTGAGTCCTAACCAGTCCTATTTAAAAGGAAAGTAGTCTCGTTAAACTAACGAGGTTTGGCCCCTTAACACTGCCGTAGGGTTTTCTGCTTTAAGAGAGGGGCTGGGCTGGGCTGGGTGAAGTGGCTTACACCTGTAATCCCAGCACTTTGGGAAGCCAAGGTGGGTGGATCATCTGAACCTAGGAGTTCAAGAGCAGCCTCAATAACACAGCAAAACCCCGCCTCTACAGAAAATACAAAAATTAGTTGGGCATGGTAGCATGCACCTGTAGTCCCAGCTACTCAGGAGACAGAGGTGGGAGAATTGCTTGAGCCACAGAGGTCCAGGCTTCAGTAAGCTGTGAGCATGTGCCACTGCACTCCAGCATGGGCAACGGAGTGAGACCCTGTCTGTAAATAAATAATTTAAAAATAATAGTAATGAGGGATCTGGTAACACAAAAAGTCTTCTCTTTGGGATTTCTCTTCTCTGGTGAGATTTCAGGCAGTGTAGCCAGTTAGGTGACAAACTCAAGGCACCATTAGGGAAATACATGCTTAGCCAAGGGCTCTTCTTGGTTCCTAACTTTCCACCTTAATTTTTCTTTGCATGGTCGTGGAAAGCACACTTTAGGGATTTATCACATCCAGCAAAACATTGAAAAAGGTAATAAAACATGTCCAAATCAGGTTCACTCCAGGAATGCAAAACTGGTTTTAACACTAGAAAATCAATCAAGGAGTTCCAGTAATAGCAAGCTAAGTAATTCACACTAACCTTTCTATTGAAATTTTTTAAATTGGACAAAAATATAAAAACTTACTTTTTTTTCTTTTCTTTTTTTTTTTTTTAAAGACGAATCTCGCTCTGTCACCCAGGCTGGAGTGCAGTGGCATGATCTCGGCTCATTGCAACCTCCACCTCCCAGGTTCAAGTAATTCTCATGCCTCAGCCTCCCAAGTAGCTGGGATTACAGGTGTGCACCACCGCACCCAGCTAATTCTTATAGTTTTAGTAGAGATGGAATTTCACTGTGTTGGCCAGGCTGGTCTCAAACTCCTGGCCTCAAGTGATCCGGTGGCCTCAGCCTCCCAAAGTGCTGGGATTACAGGTGTGAACCAATGTGCCACAAGAAAAACTTAACTTTTGAAGGCATCAAAGTTAACAAAACAGGCCAGGATTGGGGGTCTGGGGGAAGCAGAGTCCCAAAGGGATGGCCCAGTATTTGGATCTACTTCTCCTAGGGGCGTTTGCCGACTCAGGAGGGGAACTGAGAGGCAGAGAGATGCTTTTGATGACTTCAAGGAGCTGTGGGACAGGATTAGGGTCCAAGTGCTCACTTAGTGGAGCTTTGTAGTTCATACATTGTACATCCCAAAGACTGCATTCTAGAAATGAAGGTGGACCAGAGTAAATAAACCTTTGTAGGGTTCCCAGCTTAAATTATGTCAGTCACTGAACATGGATTAAAGCTCTCTGGAGTGGTAGTCCCCTCAAGCAACCTCAGGTGTTAATACCACCAGGCACCTGGCAGCAATAAATATAAATTATAAATCATTATTTGTATTATATAAATTATAAATTATTATTTATATTATTATATAAATAAGTTCATAAGCAAAAATGAGCAGGCACATCAGAAAATAAGGCATACACAATAACCAGCAGGAAAATAAAGAATATAAACAGATCCATAGGGGTCTTTGGATACTGAAATAAGATAGACTTTAAAATATCGAAGTTTACTATGTGCAAAGAGATTTTTAAACATTAAGATTGAGAGTTTCTGCATAAAACTAGAAAACTATAAAACATGGAATCAATATAAATTTCCACATTAACAGACTACAAGAGAAAAATTCTTTACCTCAATAATTGCAGAAAAAGCATTTGTTAAAATCAGTACCTATTTATGAATTTTTAAAAAATGAATAGAAGGGAATTTTCTCAATGTGATGAAGGAGAGCTACCAAAAAATCTACATTAAATACCATCTTTAATAGTAAAATGTTGTAAGATTTCCTTTGAAATTGTAAATGAGACAAGAATGCCATTGAGGCCACTACCATTGTCCTGAAAGTTTTAGCCAGTTCTATAGGAAAAGAAAAAAAAGTTATGACAATTGGAAAGTTATGACATTATTTGCATGTTGTACGATTGAGTATATAAAATTTTAAAATCAGCAGATAAACCATTAGACTGATGAAAGAGTTTAACAAGATTGTTAAATATAGTCAGTATATAAAAATCAATTACATTTCTCTATACCAACAGAGTT